TTTAATGTAATATAATTTTGTGTTTCCTACAAAATGACGTGCAGTGTGTGTCAAAGAAGTTCCGCCATCTATAGCGTCAGTCACGGCTGTATGTCTACTATCTACCGCGCTTTGCTCTAGATTTTGTTGCAACGAAAAAATTATTGTCAAATTATGTATGGTCATAAATGTATTTCAGCTCAATCTTGTGCATTTCTATTTGCTAGTCAAAAAAAATTTACTATTACTTACCTTATCAAAATTTAATTACATTGATTTACAAGATTTCTGTTTCTCCATAGAGTAAAGCGGGGCTATTCTGTCATTTTCAACTTTAAAGTAATACAAAGATTTACGATAACAAACAATATCTCTTTGCAGGGACGTGCTTATAATTACATTATACAATCATAATTGTTCCTTGAGAGCACAAGTACAACCTTTAAATAATCAACATGTGCTGTTCAGAAACATAAACATTATCGCGAGAAATGGACGAAAGTGCTCCTCTTTACCCTACCTGAATGGTGATTCTTATATATATGTACTTTTTCAATGTAAAAAGCCCTACAAATACAACTATTATTTGTTAAGAAACGAATATTGATAAAAATTCATTATTTAATGTTTTTATTCATCAATATTATGATTATCTAAATTCTTAATACGAATCTGTATATTTAATCTCATTATTGTTTAAATATTACAGTGATAAAATCGGATTAGTATTTCAACTACGCAATTCGTGTTTTACTTTCGCGATATCTATATACTTTTCTCTCTCACATATCATCTTAATCTATTCACGTTGTTTATTCACGTTTATCAGGGCTATCAAGCGACGAACATGCTCGTCCAATTTGCAATAGAACGGTGCGTACATTCCGCTTGGTATCGATCGTAATATTGCGGTGCAAATCCAACGGACGCATTCATCGGGCTGACCCGTTATGCATTTCGAGGCCGTATATCTCAAGAGCGCTAACAGGAGCTTTGACAGGAGCTTTCTTCTCGTTAAAACGGATTATAACTCCGCGCTGTCGCCGACGCGACTCATTTTCAAGGTAGCACGTCAAAACGCGTCGTTCACGTGACGAAAATACACGTTCAACTGCGTGGAATGTCCATATGACTAACATCATTGTCTCGCGACGCTTGATCAAATTAGTTCAGGATAAATCTCACCTAATTTTAGATGACTTACTGTATTTATGAAACTCCATCATATTCGAGATACGTTCAATATAAAATTAGCATAATCAGTAACTATAGTTTTATTTTCATCGTTAAAAAGTGATTTTAAATGTGACGCTTAAATTTCCTGTTTTTACTAGTACGACACTATATTTATTACACGAGGTCGGTATTTACGTAACTCAAAGAGTATTTTTCGCACGGCTTTGTGCACGGGGACTCCAGAAGTTTCTTTAAAAGCGTTCTTATCGCTACAGAAGTTACAAATACATATTTTACTTGTATACGTCGGGTACATATTTACGCAAGAAATGAGTCCGCCATGTGTCTGCAAATATTAAATCCGACCATAGAGAAGTCGGGCCATCGTAAAGAAATGCGTAATCGCGAATTGCCTATCATAAAGCGAATTAACTATTGTATGACTTTCAGTAGAAGTGCTCTGAAATTTCGGAATTATGAGCCTGTTTTTTTTGTCTCCACGATTATTTTGTCATCGCACAAAGTTTTAAAGAATTCTCTTCGATTTTGCATCAAAAGTCTTTGTGAATCCCTTTTACAACGCAACAGTTGTGACGTGGGTGATACCAGATTTTTTGAAAGAATATCAATTTTGTGTCATTACGCTTGTAATATTTTTCGCGCTACTTATTTCTTAGCTATTTTTCCTGGTTCGTTGAACGTAATTAGTAGATTATGATCACGTAACACGATAGTTACTCAATAATTCCAGGTCATGGCGCGTGGTAACTAGCTAATGCTATCCGCCTCATCCTCTTTCGTATGTTCGATTACTTCATCTCCATTACATCCAAATGAAGCGTCTTGAATTAAGGGAGAATTCCACACAAACATCCTCATAAATTAATATTAAGTTCACCGAGTAATAAATTGCAATTATTATGCTAAAAGATTCTTTTCTGATTTTTCTTTTTTTTCGCCATTTGATAAATTACTTATTTAACATTATATTTGGAACTTATTCCAGTATTTAGAGAAGATAACTGACAAAACTTAACCATCCGTGGTTGATGTCAAAATCTATAATGCAGTTATTGACGCTATCTAACACTCATTTAATTTATATTATTTAAAAAGTACTAATTAATTCAAAGAACCAATTAAACTCGTATTTAAAAAATGAATATTAAATATATTTTAATAAGGATAATTTAAATTTTTGCAGATGTAACATACAGAAAATTGAATTGTTTGACATGCTTGACAAAAAATTTATAACTGAATGAGTCTAATATATCCATTGTCAACTGCAGAGAATTAAAGGAAAAATAATACAAAGATAAACAAGGAAATATTAATTTTGAAGTGAAAATTAATTTTTACGATGCATTTATTAAACTAGATGGCATGTGTTTTCGGAATTCGTTTTTACCAGAAAAAGATCCCTTATAATTTATAAAGGACGGCACAAAGTATGGCAATAACTTCGGGTCATTGGAATGAGGTCATCCTTCTTACCTAACATCGGGCGCATGAATAAAACATGACTTACCTGAATTTACATTCTCGCGGCTATCTCTGACGAGCCAACCAGCGAGTTTCTACTTCGCCCTCCCCTGACTCGCCCGAGTACACGCTTTCTACCAGATGGAAGCTGATAATAAAAAATCGATAAAGAAGCTAAAGAAGAAACTAGCGAACTATCCTGAATCTTCTTTTTAAAAATATTTGTAGCGGAATGGATTTACTTTTTATTGGATGTTGAACGTCCAATAAATTGGATGAGATCAAAATGTATAAAGTACAATCGCGTTGCTCCAAGATCAAAATTCGATGACAATTGCGTATAATTGATAAAAATGTCGAATTTTTTAATCTAGGAAAATATATGCTAAATTTTTTTAAAAAGATGCAGCAACATATTATTATTTAGAAGTAGGAAAAGTAAATAATAAGTAAAAACCAATAAAAACTTATAATAATTAAAACAACTAATAAAGAAGATCAAATAAAAATTGAACGCAGAAATTGGTAAAATAATAAATTTAAAATGGGCTAAATTACAGCAATTCGAAACTTTATTCAAATATACGGAAGTATAGAACAAAATGTTAGTAAATATTGGTCCAATAAGATTCTTTTGAGTAAATATTGCGTTAGTAAATACTCGGAATCACCAGCATAAGACACCAGTAACGTGATGGTAAATAATGATATCCCCATCAGCAATATCCCCATCCTATTTTCCATTTTTATCAGCTTATCGGTCGCTTATCCGTCGGGGGGTTGATAATAATAAATCAACGAGCACAGGGGGATGAAGAAAGGGGGAGTAAACTACGACTTTACCCAGGATAGGATCGTCAGTTCGTGTTACGAGCCTCTGGAGTGCGGGTTACCATTATCGAACTCCGGAGCTAATTCTTGTTAGATTAGACGATCGAAAAGGAAAGACTATCAGCGGCTCAGTGTTGTACCTCCGACACTTCACGGACCAAAATATGCTGGTTAAGGGTGTGACAGCGGTGCTACCCTAACCCGCACACCACTTCTCGTGAGCGGATACCTAGCCAGCCAACCCCGAGCCAATCGAACGGATGCCTCCCTTCGTCGGGCCGCATTGCATCAGTGTTAAACTGGCGCTCGGACGGTACTCTTCCGGTTCTTCCCACGTTCTCGCGCGCCGTAAACAAGCGTCCCCGATTCCGAGCGCCGCGTGGGATCGATAATTCGAAATATTGTTCGTGTTTCAGGAGAGCTCCCGGTCCATTTCATCGCGCCCATCAATCCACGAAGCTACGCATTCAAAAATTTTTATTCAATGATCGATAGTGATTGCTCCCGCAGGTAGATTGACATTTCCAGCATTTCTTCCGATGCCGTGTGTTCGGCGCAGAATATCACATTGCAAATCGCAATCGTTTTTCACGATTTATATCGGGGCTCGGCGACGATTATTCGATTCGGTATTATGACGGAATCAAGTACAAGGCTTTGAAAGAATTGCGGATTACGACAGCGAACTAAGTGAATAAGCTCCCGCTCGAGCACAAAGCCAGGTGTTATAAACCCACTCGCCTGGCACTTGTGACGATAATCCCTTGCGCGAACACCCTCAAACATCAGCGAATTGCTCGGAAGACAATAGGGAGTAACAACTCGGCGGGAAAGAGTTCACCAGCTTTAGTGACGATGCTCTCGGAAATGTGGAGCAGCGTGATTCGAAAGATCTACTTTCATCCACCAGCCGGATCGGGTTGACGAAATGGATGTACGGGAAATTTTGGCGTAACTTATCCCCCTTGGACAGATCTCCTATCATCGATTTATTATGTCTTCATTAATCAATTCTCGGTAAACCGCGCGCGGTTAAATAGCAGAGAGTTTATAATAAGTAATTTGAAACGCTTCTGTATTAGACGTCAGCACACAGTCTTGCAGTCGCTTCCGTACTCTTCTTCAGTATCTTGTAAGAGATGTGAAAGGCCGCTCATATAGCATCACGTTCCACGCGCGGCGCTTTATAAGTGTATTTTATTCGCAATGCAATTTAGCACGAACAATATTGACCTGGTAGCAACGTTACACCACGTATGCCTGCGATAATGTTACCGGAACGTTCGCCGTGAGGTACATAAACGACGTACTGATGGGAAATTTTCTGTTATCTCTCTGAAACGTGACACATAAAACACTCTATATATCGAACTGCATTAAATTTATATCGTATAATATCGATGAAGACTTCCTTTTCGACGGATAATATTTTATGAAATATTTCACTCTACGTAACGATTTGGAGTCAGAAAATGTGAAAAAAATGATGCGAAATATCTCAAAATTATCTTCAATATTACCTGTCGCAGGTGCTGTCCCTCGGAGCAGACATTCTCCCGGCGTACAAATTACAGTCCCCCAGAATCCATAAGTGGACCATATTACACTACTCGCCGTTCAAGGCAGTCTGGGATTGGATTATATTACTACTCGTGATGTACACCGCCATATTTACGCCGTATGTCGCCGCCTTTGTTCTATCGGATCCGGATTACAACAGCAGAAAGAACAAGAAGTACAGTGATGACCCCATCGTTATTATAGACTTCATAGGTGAGTCACATTATACCAAAGTTTATTATTTTACTTTTAGTCTAAAATTGTGCGATTAATAATACTCCAAAATAATTTAAGGATATTGATCAGGACGTTAGTTATTGTTACAAGTGCAATTATCATAGTAGTAACCATAATAGATATCTTTTGTCGATTAATTTGATAGTAAGATGGTTTAATAGCTCCCCCCTCTCTCTCCCCCTCCCCCCTCTCTCTCTCTCACAACATTTCAAGACTTGAGTGAAATTTATAATAGAAATAAATAAAGTATAAAGACGTTGAGAGACTATTGCAAATGTAATTATGATAACAGTGATAACAATAGTTTTTATGTCAATTAATTTTAATAGTGATATGATTTAATAATTGCCACAGCTTTTCGGGACTAGAGATAGATTTTATGATAGAAATATTTAAAATAAAAATAAGCAGTTATGTATACTTAAAATAAGGACATGTCTATTATAAGTGAAATTATGATAGTAGCGGTAGTAATAGTTTTTATTTTTTGATAGTGAGATTGTTTAATAGATGCCTCAGCTTAACTTTTTAAGACTAGAATGAAATTCTATAATAGAAATAGGTAAAGTAAGGACATTGAGAGATTATTATATTTGCAATTATAATAGTAGTAGTGATAATACATTGAAACCTCATAATAGCGAATCTCGAAATAGCGCGAAAAATCCTTTCCGTGTTATGAATAGCATGAGTGAGAAGCAGTATCTACTAAAATCTTGAATTTTATTGTTTTGGAGTGAAATAAGGCGATCTCGTTGTAATGTTTAGACTCTCGAACCGCTCGCTATTACGAGGTTTCAACGTAATTTTTATTTTAATTTAATAACAAAACTTATAATAGTTGCCTTAGTTGAACTCTTCAGTGAGTAAAATTAAAATTTCACTAGAACCCGAAATTCTATAATTGAAATAAGCAAAATATTATACATACAAAAGCTTTTTGAGAGATAAAACTGGCTCTTAGAATATTAAGTTTTGAATTTGATATTGACACTCGAGTAGCACTGTATGACGTTTCATACAATGTAGGATAACACGTGTCACGACTGTCTGAAACAATAGAACGGAAAAAGAGATAGTATGAGAATAGAACAAATGGAGAAGAAATCGGAGAAATGTTTAAACGAACAGTTCTGAAGATGCTATCTGACATTATTTCGCTTCATTGAAACTTTGAAAAATGTAACACTCGATATCACCGAAATATAGAAATAAAATAAAGATTAACGATGGATTCCTTTGATGAAAGAGAGATATATGATAGATTATATGATAGAATGTAATCTATCATATATGTATTAGGTATGGGAATAAGTTTCTGCCCATTAAAGAAATGTCGTTAGTAGCACTGCTTGTGTGTTTGATAAAACGGCAGTACATATATTTGAAAGGTGTGTTCAAGCTTTTGAGCCCAGTAGTTGATACTTGTTCGAAGCGATTTGTTTGAACCAAGCTTTGAAACAAAAATGACCGGAATGGGACAATAGGCACGATAAGCTGACACCTACATATGACAACGCTAGGCCACACATTGCAAAACCGGTCAAGAAATACTTGGAAGGAGTGAAGTGGGAAATTCTGCCCCACCCACCGTATTCACCGAACATTGCTCCTTCAGATTTCCATTTGTTCCGGTCCATGCAGTCGGCCCTTTCTGGAGTGCGATTCAATTCTTATGAAGGTATGAAAAAATGGCTCGATGAATGGATCGCTTCAAAAGAACCAGATTTCTTCCTTCGAGGAATCCGTTTATTACGAAACGTTACTATGAAAAGTGGAAGATAGTTGTCGTTTCGAATAGAGTTCATTCAATACTTTGAATGAACTTACTTTGTATTGTTTTGTTTAAATAAATACATCTTTTTCATTTAAAAAGGGCAGAAACTTATTCCCATACCCAATATAAGCAGAGAATGGAAGTAACTCGTTGCTTGTAACGAAGTTACAGTTACAAGCTTGTGTCCAACCGAACCGTGTCCAATCGTGTGTAAAGTAACGATAAAAGTAACTATAAAATCCGTTACTGTTATCAAAAAAATGTAATTTTTAAAACTACGTTACCGTTACCAAAAAAAAGTAAAATCAGTTTCATAACTACGGATGTTATTAAACCCGTTTAAGTATGCCGTGTAAACGTGATCATTAATTCCTATTCTTCCATTATGTGTAGATCCTTACTTTATTGGGTTATAAACAAATCGATATATACAAGTCTTAACACTCAAAGCGAGTTTTTCAGCAGAGGCACAAATCGACACAAGAGTTATTTTGTCTTTGTTTCTTATTGATTATCGAACAAGGGCAGGATGACTCTTGTGTCAATTTGTGTCTCTTGCTGAAAATATTTTAAAAATAATGCTGCAACATTGCTGAAGTAATATTGCAAAAAGAAGTCTTCGCAATGTTTCTGCAACATTGTATTGCAATATGCAACATTGAAATGTTGCAGCAATGTTGCTACAAGTTTCTGTGCTGTATGGATAGGCACTCGTCCGCTATGATTGGTGGTCATCGATTTTTAAAAAGAAATGGAAAAGTAACGAAGAATTACTTTCTCAAGTAACGAATGGTCGGTAACTGTAACGAGTTACTTTTAAAAATCAGTAAATAGTAACTGTAACTTGTTACTTTTAAAAAGTAACTTTCCATTCCCTGTATATAAGAAATATCTATAAATCTATATGATAGATTATATTCTATATTTATAGAAATATTAGAAAGTTACTGATTTCTTTTGAATATATCAATTCATTTATATATATTTTTAGTTGATGTCACATTCATCGTGGACATCATCATAAATTTTCGCACGACGTTCGTCAACAGCAACGATGAGGTGGTCTCCCACCCTGGTAAAATTGCCGTCCATTACCTGAAGGGTTGGTTCATCATCGACTTGGTAGCTGCCATTCCCTTCGACCTCCTACTCGTCGGCTCGGACACTGACGAGGTAAGTCCCGTCGCACGCTTTATATTATCTTAGATTATCTTTCTACCAAGTCGAATCTGGTGTTCAAGAGATCACATCTTATCCCGATATGATACTAAAGCTATCGTTTATGAATTCTTTAAAATTATGGAAATGAAATTATATAAAAAATTTGTACTTCATAATTTTAATAGATTATATAGACATTATGTATACATATCCTTAAATTCAAACAAATCAGAACAGAAACAACGAAGATACTTAGAATGTAAAAAAAAAACGGATTCTTGAACGCCAGATTGTCAGACAGAACTTTCTAGAATGTCGGTGTTAGCTGGTAAATATGATTAGGATGACATGCCGAGTCCAAGTTACGTGCCCATAGATGTGACTTTACCGGACTGGTGCTTAGTTCGTTTCTCCCTATTTTCGACCATTTCTCTCGGTGTTGAATGATTTCGTTTTCCTTTGTCGAGAGTTAGTCGAGTCGTCGTGTTAATGTGCACACAATGTATACGTACGGGTGGCGAGATGTTCTAATGGCTTCTCGCTGTCTGGAACGATTTTACACAACGTTGAACGTGTGCTACACGTGCGTCATGGATCAATCATACAGCGAAGCTCGATTTTCCATCTCTACATTCAAATTTGTGTTAACAGACAGAATGATAGCTAAACTCACCGACAAGTAACTATGCCACGTTTAGTACCAATTATGTCAATCATATAGTTGCGTATTACGAGATGCGACGTGCGTAACTTGAGACATAGATGAACAATCCCTTTGTCTTGAATTGACTCGTACCTGTACGCACACGTATGCATACATTCTTCATAAATATGTAAGTAAATATAGTTTGTCGCTGTGAAAATTTCTGCTCTGATTGTCGAAGTATTAGACTATACATATATCAGGTTTTCGTCAAAGTTTTTTCTACTTTTTTTATCATTTCGTTTTTTGTTCGTTTAAGTGATTCTTTTGGATTTTCTCTTATGAGTTTCTTATGAAACTTCTCTTACAAGGTCTTTATTTATATCTCTGTCTCTCTCTCTCTCTCTCTCTTTCTCTCTTTCTCTCTCCCCTCGATTTGTGTGAACGACACCGGTGGCTAATGAAGGTAGTCTATATAGGGAAAGAACGGTGAACATAAATAACTCTTCCTGTAATTAATTTAATTTATCGTGCTTCTGTAAGAGAGACCAAAATATCATTTGCATCCCCGATCGGCCAGTTTCCGTAACAAAGTAATTAATATAAAGTCATCCATCTCGGCAATTTGTTTCAGAAGTAAAACAAATCTAGAATGCGTATGAATTTCTTACTCTTGTTTTAAGCGAAACGCTTAATCATAACGATCTGAAAAGTGAAATTATAAATCACCCTCATAATGTGAAAAGAACAAATTTTAACCTTAGTTTAACATTTTCGTAGCTCGGCTTGGACAAGGACGAGGTTAGTTAACACATAATATACACAAGAGATCCTCACTAACGTGTCTTTTCTTTCGTTATTACTTAATGAAAATTACAATCCACACCGTTTTCACACACCAAACGATTAAGATCACCACCGCAATCACGAGTTTTTTCTATTAACTTCTTCTCTCTTTTTCTCTCTCTCTTTTTCTCTCTCTCTCTCTCTCTCACTCTCACTCTATCTCCCTCTTTCTCTTTTTCTCATGTACAAACCGCTTAAACACATATTACACATCTTAAATACTTTCAGCACCGTCTCTCTTGCAATATCAACCATCCCTTCTCGGCGATATCATCTCGACGATCAAGAATCTTCACGCGACTCGCCACACGTACCAAACACCTCACTCGATCACTGCAATCTCATCTTATGCCGAGGAAGTTTGAATAAAGTTGATGGCAAATCGTTGCTCGGGTGTCCTTCAATAAATTCTTACTTTCTTCCGTTTCCAAAGATACAATAAATTGTCACGCGAAAAGGCAGGATTTTCATCAACTCTATTCTCACATGTACGATATACTAAAATTACTAAAGTGCATGTTTCTTTTTTTTCTGGAATACTGTATGAAATTATAATGACTCGCTTTGTATTAACTCGCCATTCGTGCAACATTTATAAAATTTACACCGTTTATGTATACAAAGCGCATTGCGGCTTGTACGTTTGTATCATTGCGCGTTCTCGCAAAATCGGTAATATATTAGAATCTGAATTTTACTACAACTGATAAGTGGATGCATGTCTGCGCCAATGCAAATTTTCGAAATTTACATAAGATACAATTGAACATAAAAGACTGAATTAATATTCAGTTATGTAAAAGTAAAACTCCGATCTCGCGTATTGGCACAGGTACGCATTTAGTTTTCAGTTGCAGCAAAAAATTGGAATTCTAACAATCGCAGAGTTGCTACAGATCTGGAAAACCGGGCAAACCAGGAAAAGTCAGGGAAATTGAAATTGGTCATGGAAAACCGGAAAGTCAGGGAAAAATATAAAAGAGACTGAAATTTTGAACTTTTTGCTCACAATTCCCTTAAATTTTGAACTTTTGCTCCTATTCCAAATAATTTTTATAATTGTTTAAATATTGTATCTGACGTTTATAGTCAAATACATTCAAAACTCATACACTTTAAATGATTTTAAAAAAATAATTAAAATTTATATTTTATTCGGTAATTTTATATGATCACCCTTTTTCGTTATAACTGCATTCTTTTTTCTAATACTAATTTATTTTTTGTTGGCTTGAATTTGCTCCCAAAATTTTATTATGCTACAAAGCTTCTTTTATGTTTTCAATAATATAAGCTAGCTTTCCTACAATCCTTGATTCTAAATGTTAAAATTTTTTACATATTTTATAATGTTAAAATTTTTACATATTTTTATATTGGAAATTGCCCATTTTTATTTAGAAAACCTAGAAAAGTCAAGAAATTTTACAGTTCATTTTCTGTAGCAACTCTAAATCGAAAAATTTTTACTGTCGATTGTTGATTTATCGTATGGAATAAAAGCAATTTCGTGCTATCAATATCTGATGAGAACTCTATAGTTGACTTTTTTATTCTTTTATTAGACACTTTCTAGACACCAGATATGAAACTTCGAATCACGTATATTGAGCGCACGACTAAGATAAGATATACAACGAGTACTTTATTTATATATGATGTCTAGTTTTCTTGCATCCAGCTTGTCGAATTTGATTTCTAGCAAGTAAATTAACGTTAGGCTTGTTTTACTCGCTCAAATAATGCGCGAATCGATCTCTTTTTTAAAGTTGCAGGACGAATATAATCGCTTATAATCGATCATATTTCTCAGTTTTGTCTGATCCGCTTTTGTCGGATTCACGGGCAAGCATTTGAACATCACATGACATACATGCTTTCGTTAATTCATTAATTGTAAACAGTACACATATCTGAGTATTTTTTATTAATCACGTACAATTTCACACACACACACATGAAATATTGACGGATTTGGAAGAGTAATCGAGAACGTTTTCACAAGTGAAAAAATAAGTCAAATCATTTTTTTGGGGGTTGAAATAAAATTTCATAAAATATGAATTGATCACGCACACACACACACACACACCACGCGCGCACGCACAGAAATATAAACACGCATACAACATACAAAATCTGTTGCAAACTGTACACGAGTAAATGCGTATAATCGTGAATAGCAATGGTAACATATGATGAGGATACTTCGAGTGGAAATATCTCATCGCGATTTCGTCAGCAACTGCGCGTATATGCTTCAGCTATTTCTTCTCTCGATTCTGTTCCAATACTTTATTGGTCCCATTGTTCTGTTCTCGAGCTTCTTTTGTATCTTTTTATTACATCTCTGTTGCAAGCTATACAAAATCGTGATTGTACTCAATCTAAAAAAACGAGAGATTTTTTAACCGATGGATTTTTCCCGGTAATGTGTGTATGTGTGTGTGTGTGTGTATGTGCGCGCGCGCGCGCGCGCGCGTGTGCGTGGTTATTTTCATTCTTATGCTTTGACAGAATTTTACGTTCTATATTTGTAACGATTGAAAGAGCAAGCGAATAATGGAAGTTTAATATCTTTTTACTATTTCGTTTCTCGTGAAAATCAATCACTTTTTCCAAATTGATTATCCTTCATTTCGAATTTTAACCCATAAGTCCGCGTTCCGAAACTTTACCCAGATACATCCAGATATCATTTCATCCTTGTTATTCATCGAATGTTGAATAAGGATAAAATGGTATCTGAATGAAATTTCTGAACGTAACTTAACTGGAACATATAGGTCCTGATGATTCACAGTTTTGAACTTGGAAATTCTCTAAAAAAATAAAACTAATAACAAAAAATATAATAAGAATATAATAGAGTAATAATAAGTATTTTCAATATTAAAAGGAAAAACGGGCAATTAAGAGCCTTAAATAAAGTGCACTCTATTACTATCTTTACAACTACTTAATGTTGTTTCAAGAATCTTTAGATTATGCAAGACTGCTGAAGATGGCTCGAATTGAGCCGAAACGTTCGATCATTATATCTATGTAAGAATTGAAACTTGATATAATCGCACTAACTACCGCACTTTAAGGGGCTCTGCACAATGAAAGGAACAGGGAACTGAGAACAGAAAATAAGAACTTCAACCTATCAGAAACTGTGTTTTCAAATACTACACTCAGAAAAAAGTTTTGTTGATATATGACCGACAAAAAATTTTTCGTTGTCCTAACCAAAATTTAGTTATGCTAACAAAATTTTTTGTTAGAATAACATAAAAGTTTTTGTTAGTCACATATTCTAACAAAAACTTTGTTGTCCTAACCAAAAATTTGATTAGAATAACCAAATTTTGGATAGGACAACGAAAAACTTTGTGTTGGTCATATATCAACAAAACTTTTTTCTCAGTGTAGTATTTATACATAACATAAAAATATTACAGGATATTAAAAATAATAAATACGTATAACGAATTAATTTAAAAACTATTATAGCCTCGACATTTTGGTATTAGGATTTTTGTCTTATTTTTAAGTCAGGTATATGTTATTAAAATTTCGGTCACAAATTGTGGGACACCCTGTATATGAAGTGCTTAAATTACTACGCCATTACTCTCATTAGCACGAATTTATTGCTAATTTTGTTTTAATAATAAAAACTATAACTGAGAATTTCCAAAAACTTATGTTTCTTTAGTGTCAAAAAATGTGTTCCTGTTACAGATTAATTAAATTTTTTATATCAGATTTTCTTATAGATTTGAAAATAAATAAACTAACTTTTGCAATATTGATCTTCTTTGTACAATTGCTTCCTCAATTGTTATATGTCTAAGAACTTTCGTATATGTGTGATTATGTGTTTCTATCGCTTATGCGCTTTGTCTTTCTTGTAATCAGGGCTGCCGCAAACAAAATTCCGTAACAGTATGCGTAATGCGTAAACTTAAGCCGATGAATCAATCAGGATACTGCTTTAGATTACGTAATCTAACGGAAATGGAAATAACAGTAAACTTATCCATAACCTCGCAATAAGGCGAATTTCAACCGGTTGAAACTCGCCTTATGATTAAGTTTACTGCTATTTCTATTTCCGTTAGAGTACATAGATCTAAAGCAGTATCCTGATTGGCTCATCGGCTTAAATTCACGTCTTAAGATTACTGTTACAGAAATTTTGTCTGCGGCAGCCCTTAGGCCCAGTTCCACAATTCACGATTAACTCTTAACCGAGGTTCAATTTGTTTCTCATGTCTTTCCAATTCTAGAATTGGAAAGAGACAATGAATAAGTTGAACCTCGGTTAAGAGTTAACCGTGAATTGTGGAACTGAGCCTTAAACGTGCATTAAGTCGCGTATGAATTAAAAAACTTCAAGTTCGAGAAAAACATTTCTTCGTTTTAAATTATTCTATCGCCTTCAAAGCTTCGCTTTAAACGCACACGAAATGTATGACATTGAAAATTATTTCGACTGGAAGACAACGCATGATAGTCGTAAAAATATCGTTTGCATGCTTTTACAAATGCCTTTTTTAATTGAAAGCTTTTGCATTTTTGGCAGGTAAAAAGAGGAAAAGCATGAATATGCCGGTTCATGCCAAATAATTTTTTCACAGCTAATGCACACATACACAATCGCAGATTATCATATTTCTATGACTAGCTTTTCTTTTTATTTCGGCGATTGTGCTTGTCAGCTGATTTGTAATTATATCATACTTTATTCATGCTGGATATATCAAGAGTGCTCGCACTACAGTGTAATATGTTTTAATCATTTAAAGTTTTTATTTTTCTTAAAACTATGTAGAATAAAAAAAGGACGTAAGTGATTCGAATCAAAACTCGAGCTCACTTGCGAATATGACAATTAACTCCGCAACAAGGAGGTCGTCACTTTATCTAAAAGGTACCCTTAAAAACGCGGTAATAATATCGTCCATTCTCGCTGGAAAATCATTGAAAATTTTTTTCTCACTTTTCAAACTCATTGAAAAATCGGTCCTCGAATGACGGCTTTGCGATTGGTACCAAGAAATAGCATGCCGTGAAGACAACAACTTCAACTTTGATATTTGAGACTTGACGAAATGTCACGCGCGTATCGTATCGTGATATTCCGACGAACTACGATCTCCGGCTTCAGCGATTGATGTGCAACTGAAGTGACGATTTCCGGCGAGAGTGACACTTCCAACACGGAAATGGCCTTTACGTAAATGTCAGATAATTAGATTTCAAGTAAACATCTGTTTATGTTAAAGTTTAAATGATAGATCCGTCATATACTTATGGCAAACCTTACGGTTTTAATTTATATAAAAGTAATCACGTCTCTGTAAAAAAGAAAAACAAAAAAAATTATTAGTGCATTCCCGAAATATTTTTAATTCTATATATAAATTCTAAAATTTTTAATTTTATATATAATATAAATGTCATTTATGCAAACGAAGACACGCCGTGTTGCAAAGGCACGTTTTATTTTTGCGTGAACAATTCCGTGAAGATTTATAAAAATAAAAGATTAATAAGAAATATCAATCATTTAAGTGATAATGGACAGCGTTAAATAAGGCCGATTTCTGTATAGCGAGACTGAGGTTCGCAGGCTCACATATTCAGAAGATAGACAAAATTATCTATCATTTTCAGACGACGACCTTGATCGGACTTTTGAAGACGGCTCGTCTGCTGCGCCTTGTCAGAGTGGCCAGGAAGATCGACAGATACAGCGAATATGGCGCTGCCGTTTTGTTACTTTTAATGGCCACTTTTGCCCTTATTGCTCATTGGATGGCGTGTATATGGTGAGTGATATCGTCTGTATACCTTCGGAAATACAATGTCTTTAATTCGTATAACGTACCGAGTATTAAACTATCTTTGGCTACAACTTTCTTAACTCTTTATTATTCGTATGGAGTATCCAGGACAAGTATCCGGTCTTATATATAAATTTGCTAAATATATGAATGCTATTTATACACATTATATTTCGCGTAAATATTTCACATTTTTAAAAAAGCATTTTGCATTTAAATTTATCTAATACGCTACATACAGTAAAGGTTTAAAGAAGAACTTTTTGTGATTTAAAAAAAAAATAATTAGAAGACACGGTAGTGTCTTAGCGCTAAGATAAGCGAAGCGTCATGTTATATAAATCTTAGACACGAAATATGAATTAATATATCGATTAGGTACATTTTAAAGATATTTTAAGAATTCTTTTATGTTAAAATACAAATATATGACAACGTATATTGCACAGAATTTTAGACTCCTATGTTTCAAGTCTAAAAAACATGCGGTTCATTAGTGACGTAGAAAACTCAAGTTGTAATGTGAAATGAAAAATTTTTGAAAATTTCTAAAACTATATAAATGTAATTTCAATTAAGCGTAGGAATTTTTTTAAATAATTTTTTCCACAATAGGGCAACGATGAAAAAGAAACTTTAAAATTTCACTACGTTTTGATCATTTAAAATATTCCGTCCTCAGAAACTAAGAATTAAAAAAACTCTTAACTGAAATTATTTATTTTGTGGAGCTGCCCTTTTAAAAATTGAAATCAATCAATCGAAAATTGTTTGAATTATAGATAGATGTTGAGAAAAATAATTTAAAAAAAACGTTCAAAGTTTTAATGTCGATTATTTTATGAAAAATCAGTATTTAATTAACACACACATACATGTCTGTAAGTTGTCTGGACAATATTAATCTTGCGGAAAATGTAAAAAAATTGATCTTTTTAAAGTGTGACTGTAGTGTACCTTTTCAATCAAGTTAAAGTTAACTTTACCTTAACTAGAATTATGTGGACGATCCACCTCCTTTTTATCGCAAATTTGTTATCAGTTTAAGATTTTGTGATTCGAATTACATACCGTACATTTTAAAATATTGCTCTAGAATCTAAATGCAATGCATTACCCCGATATTTCGCGCTTTTTAAAGGTACGCCATAGGAAACGCCGAGAGACCGACCCTGAAGAGCAAGGTTGGTTGGCTCGACATTCTAGCCAACGATACTCATCAGTTTTACTTTCACAATAATACCGGCGGGCCGAGCATAAAAGTAAGCCATCCGCGCGAGTACCTTTCGAGTACGCTCTATTTGAGATCGCAGTCCTTAAGGGGATGCTGGAGGGATCCAATTATCGACATTGCAATTTGATCAAAATCTCCGGATTGACTAAATGGAATAAAAAATCCATTTACAGGATTAAAGTAAACGCAAATCCTGATGTGGTGCAGTGGATTTTATACTAAAATAAAAAAAAAGTTAAAAAATTTTTTACTTTTTTTCGATTTTAGTATAACATCCGCAGCACCACATCAGGATTTTGCGTTTACTTTAATTCTGTAAAAGGATTTTTTATTCCATTTAATCAATTCGGAGATTTTGATCAAACTGCAATGTCGATAATTGGGTGCCTCCAGCACCCCTTTAATGGCGGTACCCTTTTATCTAACATATAATTCTATAATTTTTCCAGAGTCGTTATATCACGGCGCTTTATTTCACCTTCAGCAGTCTCACGTCCGTAGGCTTCGGGAATGTAGCACCGAATACCGACGCCGAAAAAATCTTTACAATAATCGTCATGTTGATCGGATGTGAGTTATATGAACATATGTCCGCAAACTCACTGTTACTGATTGTGAGATATATCTCAAAATGTTTATTAATACACTGAAAAAAAATGCTGTTAATTCAATTAAAGTCTATATTACGGGCTGTCACTAACATAAGTGATTAATTCATGTATATTTTTATTGACATAAAGGCATAAATTATTATTTCACTAATCAAGCCTTTATGTCAATAAAATATATCAATGAATTAATCACCTATATTAGTGACAGCCCGTAATATAGACTTTAATTGAATCAACAGCATTTTTTTCTCAGTGTAGGGGAAAATAAAAAAAGTAATATTTATTTCCAATTTTCAATTACAATAAATGTTTGAAGTATCTCCCATTTGATTCAGTACACGTTTGGACATGTCAGATCATGGACTGTCTTTTAAAGATCTCGAGGCAATTGCGAATGGTGGCACAAGCATAAAAAATTCAAGCATAAAAGCATTGGCGATTGGAATTCCGTAAAAAGGACTTTAAGTGTTCCCACAAATAAAAATCTAGAGAATTTAGATCGGGGGATTATAAGAGTCATGTAACTAATTGTAAGTCTGCATACATTTTAAGTTATATTTTAGTAACAGTGGATTTGCAGACATGAAATTTTTTTATGTTTGGTGGAAGCATGGGAAGCTCGATCCCGAAGTTACCTTATTTTAGCTACAATCTGTATTTTGCTAACATGTATTGTAAGCGAGGAATAAATAAATCCATTTTACACTTCCTGATTTCTCCTAACATAACAAAAGTAAATATATTATAATATTAGAACAATGAATATTTTATAGCAAAGTGTTAAGGTTAAATGTTTTTTTTTAATATTCTAGATTTTCAGATTTTAATAGAGTCTTGAATAAATAATGCTAACATTGATTTTTCCTAGAAATTAAAGTATCTTAGTCCATCGTTAGATATATCGGATACAGGGTTTATTTTATGATATATCGATTTTAGCTCTGATGTATGCTAGTATCTTCGGTAACGTATCGGCGATCATCCAGAGGCTATACAGCGGTACCGCCCGGTATCACACACAGATGCTCAGGGTCAGAGAATTCATAAGGTTCCACCAGATCCCGAACCCGCTCCGCCAACGATTGGAGGAGTACTTTCAACACGCGTGGACCTATACGAATGGAATTGATATGAACAGTGTTCTGAAAGGATTTCCCGAGTGCCTTCAGGCCGACATTTGTCTTCATCTCAATAGAAATCTTTTAAGCAATTGCCGAGCCTTCGAGGGGGCCAGTCAAGGCTGTTTAAGGTACTTACCCCCTAATTTGCACCGAAAATAGGAAAATCTGATGGGATTATTTTAAGGGGGTATTTTAGTTTATAGAAAACTAAAAAATTACACGAATTTCTTAAAATGAAATAATTAATATATTAATATATTAATATAAAACTTTCTTAGACTTTACTTACGTAGAAAATAGGTGTTTAAAAATATTTGTTGTCAGTATTGACATCTTATTTTTATTGCTTTTTGTATATAGAAATGATTATCTTTCACATTATATAATTAATTCAGAAAGATAAGAAATTTTCTTGTTTTTTTGCAAAACAGGGCATTATCCTTAAAATTTAAGACGACACACGCGCCTCCTGGTGACACTTTAGTTCATCGAGGGGATGTGCTGACTTCCCTGTATTTTATATCCCGCGGCAGCATCGAGATTCTCAAGGAGGACGTCGTGATGGCCATTTTAGGCAAGGATGATATTTTTGGCGAGAATCCGTGCATTTACCCGACGGTCGGAAAGTCGTCTTGTAACGTTCGCGCCCTTACATATTGCGACCTTCACAAGATCCATCGGGATGATCTGCTCGACGTCTTAGCTCTTTATCCGGAATTCTCCAACCATTTCAGCCAGAATCTTGAGATTACTTTTATCATGCGAGACGTGAGTACTATTTCTAGCTTTCTTTGCGCGCAATTTTTCAATTTAATATAAATTCAATTCTTCCTCTTTCTCTTACTTTAAATTTCATTATTATGATAAAAGAAAAATACGACTTTCACTTTTTCGCGTTTGTTTGGGAATCGTTTTATTTCTACATTTTCTTATGTATTTTTCTTCATGGGATGTGAAAATTATAATAATGATGCTACGTTTACGCTTATCAAGGAAAAATTGATACATTGAAATATTGGATGGACAATTAGTTTTTAAATGATTGAAGCATAATTGACATCAATTTTGTAACAATGTGAATAAGGATTTCATTTTTTATTTCAATGTACATTTTTTCTTGAGTATAACGTCATTATTACAATAATTTTCCACGAAGAAAAATACATAAAAACATGTAGAAGAAAACGATCTTCAAATTGCGAAAAAATTGTACTTTCCTTTATACAGAAATATTTTTTTAATTTATTACATTAGATTTTACAATTTTGATATTTTTGTTGTAATTATATATAATTATTATTTAACTACTGCGTACGGCAATTTATATCGGGCTGACATACGATTCTAACTTGCGCCCTTTCATTTTCAGGAAGAACAGGCTGGTGTCGACCCACTATCAACAAGATATCCTGTAAGTACTCCGACTGACGTCGACATCGACGCCAGGAGGTTCGCTTTCCGTCCACCAAGATACCGTCGAGGACCCGGTGGTCCTGGCACAAATCTTATTCCCACATGTCGACAAGACTCCTTGCAGGACGACCAGGATGATTAGTAAGACATCACCTTTTATCGCATCAATTTTCTCAATTATCCGTTAATAAATTACTTTGGCCGAAACATATTTCTGAGATAAATTCATTTAAATACATATATGTATTATTAGTTTAACATCAGAAAAAATTACTGACCATATATTATAATCCGTACGATTACTATAATCTCGTGCGAAATTACTACAAACAACGGATCACATGCATGTAATTAGTGCGACACAAATATTGCAATCAGTAAATTTTTGTAGTAGAATTACACGCCAATAATAATGTTACAGTGTGGATTACACGCATATAATTATTATAATACACTACTCAACAAAATTAAAGGATCACTTGTTCCACCCTGCAAAAATAGGCAAATTTCGAGATAGAATAACTTCGTCAAAAATCATCGTATCGAGATTTTTAAAAAAGCATTTTAAAGCTTGAAATCTCTACTTTTCAAACCTGTACTTTAAAAAACCGTATTACTCATATTTCATAAAGTTACACAAACATAAAAAAAATTGTGCACAAATGCGGTTTACAGCTTTCGAAAGAATGAATCTTTACCTTCAATTTGCTTTTTTGTTGAGCTCTGTACGATTTTTTTTCACCGGGTTATTCAACGTTGAAGCAAAAACGACCCTTTTTGCTTTGACGTTGAATAATTCGGTGAAAAAAAATCGTACGAAGCTTCATTAAAAGCGATTTTCCCAAAATTATTATTACCGTTATATAAAATTGTGACATTATTACTAAATTGTTATTACAAAAAAGTGCATACGTCGATGCGAATATTGTTAATGACAGTCACTATTTATCGACTATTTAATGATTTTTTACAAAATCGCAAAATTATAAATATGCGCTAATTTAAATAACTTCTTTTTTTTTAATTTTTTAAATTGTGGCGTTCCCAAGTGCCCCGGCACGTCGGTGTCTTAGAATTAAATCCCAAAAGCTCATAGATTAACACACTACTGCCAAAGATGACAGATTAATTGATCAGCTACTTTTCTATCTGTTGCAGTGATAAAGGTAGCGGTCATGGTATCTTAGAATTTAGCACGGACAAGGCGGGTCAAGACGTGACACCATTGAATTTAGAATTCGACGAGCCCAAACAGAGAAGCTCGACCTTAAACTCGATAACTGGTGAGCAATCATTATTTCTTTTGTTCGGTCTTGTTTCGAGAAAATAATGTTTCGATTTCTCTCGTGTTTGCTTCTATTCTGTTTGAGGAATGTTATTTATTGCATGATAGGGAAGAGTGGGGTAAGTCGGACCTGTTTGCAGTTTTTGCTCTCTATAAGACGTAAATCGTAAAGTCCGATCGTAAAACCGAAGGTGCCTTTGGAAAGATCACTTAATTCCCTTCATTTTTGCTTGAGACCATTTTGACGTATCTTTCACCTGTGTTGAACTATAATGGAAAATGTAAAAACGCTTTTTCCGGTCCGATTTTGAACTATTGGTTCCAAATCGGATCATCCCCTGGTCCAAATCGGACACTCCTATTTTTATGAATTTTAGATAGAGTTTTAAACTATTTTAATGTATTTTTGTTAGTATTGAGTAAAAACGAGCAATTTGACAGTCAAAGATAAAAATTTTATTTCAGAAAAAAAATTACTTACAATTTATATTTTTATTAGAACTGAAATCAATAAAATTCAATTAATCTCAGTCTGATAACTCATAATATTTTACCGATTTAATTCCTTGGAGATCTGGTCGGCCGACAACCGGGCCTATAAGTTATCTACTGTACTGTAGGTCCGATTTAGACACGGGTCCTTTAGAACTTTGGAACAAATTTTACATTTTACGCCAAAAATATCGCCGAGTATTAAACGATGAATATAAGTACTTAACGGAAAATATATCCTGGATATACGTCATGGTTCGATTGTAAAAAGTATTGCCAAATATAAAAATTGTTGATACTGCCATTAAAATGATAAGCCAAATTAATATTAATCCTTATGACGAAAGGTTAATCCGGATTCTTAAAAACGTAATACGCAGTCCAATTAGATAAAATAGTAATGTCAGAAAAATTGTTGAGTCAAAGATTAAAAATGTAATATATTTAAATTGAAGCAAACTTGCGATGAGGACTACTCTTTGTTAACAGCAACATTATTGGGGCTCATTGATAATAGTGAAATGAAACAAACACTGTAACTGTGCGTGATATCCTATGTAAATCTGCGATATGTAAGAGTGCCTCATTCTCAGCATCCAATTGCTTGAACAATAAACGGTTCTGGTGGGTTATGAGTTTCATCGAGAGAAATAAAATAGCACAGTTTGAAATGATGCTGACGTAGTCCAAAAAAGGGCCTTATCGATATTCTTCCTTTTAAATAATGATTTACAAGGATTTTCTTTTTAAAAAAAATTTTCGCACGATGCCTGAAAATACATATTTGCATCTATTCTATGAATGTTATAACAGAGAACTGTCAAACTGCTGTCACATTTTCGGTGTCTTATATGGATTTTACATTATAAATAGCATGCAAATCTGCTTAACTATATTTATTTAAATTAAAAAGGTTTTATTTAGAATACGGTCCGATTTAGGCCACTCTCCTCTATATGATATATAGATCCTCTATACAGCAGGGTATTTCCTTTTAATATAATCGACTCAAGATTTTTCACTTCGGATGTTTTTGATCTTTGTTCATTAATTAACAGCAAGATTCCTTGTAAAGATTGACCACAAACATTTGTGCCTGCATTAACGTTTCGCATTTAGCACTAAATATATCCGTAAATGCAAACAGTAGCGCTAAATTCATCTGATCTTAAGTTTTATTTGTTTCACAAGAAAATTTTAGTGAATAGATAGAAATTTATAATGGAAACTTTGGTCATAAGTATAGAGCTCAGTTTATTGTATTTTCTTAGAAAATATTACAATAAAATAGAAAAAAATTACGAAATGTTAAAATTGTTATAAAAATAAATATTTTTCGATAAAATTATTTTTAACCTATTTTTCATGAAATATAGAACATTTACGTCAATTTGTGGAAACGCTTTATACTTTTAGCCAAGGCTATGTATTTAGCGCTGAATGCGCAACATAAACTGGATCTCAGAATCAACTATGTATTTAAGATCCGCTTACAATTTGTAATAATTTCAAAAGCATTTTATCTTTCTTGTAGGCTTCTTAAAATGTATTTTGCCTCCAGCTCGATGTAGTTCATTATGTATCAATTATTTCGATCTATTTAACGTTTATTACGATGACTTCCCTCTTTCTTTCCATCCAGCTCTATCTCTCTTTTATTTCTCTCCTCTTCTAAGCGTATTGCTTCTTGTTTGAATCCCAAGTTCGATAACACCTTGAAACCTGGTTGTTCAGGCATGCTAACCCATCTCAAGCGCAGTATACCGGATCTACGCCAGCACAAGATTCATCTGCAGCCGCTTACCAGTCACGATTACCTTGCGAAACAAAGTAAGTACTCTGTACATTCGGAATATTCTGAAGTAGATTGGCCTGAGCTCGTTGCATCTAAAATCATCCCCGACTTGTTGTATTTTCGCTACACCACTTGCCAGAACCCCGAAGAGAACGTACGACTGTCCTGTCCTTTCATCTGTATTAATTCTTAACCGCGACATACGCCGTAGTAGAGAGTATCTCGCAGCGCGATTGCACATGTGTATGCGATAGTATCACCCAATTTATGTAATGTACCTCCCGTACTCGTGATACTCACCGGTGGCGTTTAAAACCTAGTGACCACGCCACCGACGAAACCAACGCGCCGGAGTTCCGCCGCCGGCGAGAGTTGCCTCAATCAAAACGTCGTTCATCCCACTTCGACAACGTCAAGCCACTACACCACACCATCGCCCCCGCAGCATCCTCATTCTCATGGTAGGGGCCTCATTTCTTTTAATCTCATTATCAGTATTTACCGCGACCTCCATCATTTTTCCTGTGTTTTATTAGACGTGCAAAAACTTAATATTCACAATAGCAGATCTTTGTTTATGAAATATTTTTGTAAATTACAAATAATAATGAAAGTGGGTCAATTGATAAAAATTTTAATATGAAATTCAGTAAATTTCGGTAATATTTAATCATTTTTTATTACAATTTCAGTAATATTTCATCATTATTCGTCACACAATTCAGGAAAAAATTTCCATCAGGGTATCAATAAATACGATGAAAATTATATAAAAATTGCATGGTATTACATTTACACCATTGATGTTTACATCAACATTAACATGGTAAAGTTGTATCTAACATCCACACCCATATTTTTTAGAACATTTGTCTCACTCACATTAATTGATATGAAATTCCGCCATCTTATGCTATTATCATATTAAGAATCATTCATTATCAAAAATCGCGTATATCGGTAACTGCACTATGAAATGTTGAATTATTGCGAGATGCTCTGTGAGCTGTGTTGGAATTTTGATTGCGATTAAGTCAAGTTGTCGCGAGATGAAGACGTTTGGTTCTTCCAGGCGACTTTCAAAGTGGCCCGGGTCGGCCCGTGGAGGAGCTCAATGCCAGGATCGACCAATTGTCGCGGCAGGTGTCTTCGTTGGAACACTCAATGGCCGGCGACATCAGATTGATCTTGAGTTTGCTCCAGCAAACTCTCAACTCGTCGAGAGAGAGCTCTAGCATCGAAATGATGCCGGGAACTGCGCCAACTGGTGCGAGGCAGAGCAACCGTGCACCCGCGTTGGTTCAAAGATCGGCAAGCGAACCGCAGCCACCGACGATCCCGGCGAGCAACGGAAGTGGGAAGATTCAACCTAGCACGTCGCATGGCTTGTTCAGGTAAAAACGAAGTAAATGAGATTCCGCGAGTTAAATCCTCCGTGATTCTACAACTTTGGTAATAAAGCACCCTCCCACATTGAGTAAATATTCTATTATGGAAAAATATATTGAAACAATTTTTATTGAGAAATAATATTTTTTTAATAAAAATTTTTACGTTTTGTTAATTTTTTCGGCTTTTATTACCACCTTTTCTAAGAAAATGCAATAAATTAAGGATACTTTATAATAGTCAACGCTGTAATTATTCAAATCGCGTACCTTTCTCGTGCGTTGAATTTCATTATTAAAGTTAGTCTCGCGTGCAACTGTCGTATGCGACAGCAACAATCTTGCAGTAGAGAGGATTTGCGATGCTCCACGACGCGGTAGATTCCGAAACTGAAATCTGACCCGCAAGAAGTAATCGATATTTTGTTATTCTTGAAAAGCCTTCTTTCGAAATCCCTGGATCAGTTGCATTTGATTTCGGCGTCTTTTATTTTGGAAAAGTTGGACAAGTTTCGAAGGTGACCACCATCACGTATTCTTCTTTGAACTCTTTTGCGAGCAGTGTCACGGAAATCGAGTCTAAGCGAACGGCACGCGGCGTTAACATATATATTCATCACGAAGATTCTAAATTTTCCCTTCGCTATCACAAGCATAATCATAATTAACAATTGGATCGTGTTATTAAACTACAATTTTATATAAAACATTTAACTAGTTTAAACCAAATAGATTTTTTCTAGAGGCGATGTGCCGTTACTCTGAGATTCTATAATCTTTAGAACTGTATCATACTTTTGACGCTCTCTTTCTGTAGATTATCATCTCTAACGTCGCACGCCTCGAAAGCTTATCAATTCACGTAGCCCATTCAGTATTTAGAAAGAATATCTATAGAAATATGAGGAAAGTAAAAAGCATTTGCGTTAAAATAAGAATAATTTTTCATTAGAAGATATTTTTTCTCTAACTTGCATGTACTTCTTTTCTTATTTCTTCTATCTGATCTCGTTATATATTTTTCTTCACACGTCTGATTAGTCTCTAATTAATTTGACTAGTCCTTTTACTTCTATAGAAGAAAACACTTCGGCAATTTCGTCAATCTCGGTTCACTTTAATCTTAATTGATTCCTTTTATCTTTTATTTCTTTTTTTTTAAGCAATTAATTGAACTCTGATTGAAATAGACCGACGTTGACGGAACCGATCTCTTAGTATAGGATAAATCATTTTCCATGCACGTTTAGATAGATTATTCTCATGATCATTCTTCATTTATAATTTTCATCGATTATAGCCGACGTCAATGATCGATCCACTGCGTGGCCGGTAGTCCCAAACGCGCGGGGTCCGTGACACTGCTCGGGATCAAACTTAGAAGATTAGAGGCTTGTCTCGAATATCCCACTGTACATAATCACGTACGCTTTAAGTATATATCTCACTCGACTATCCTTAGCGGTTCTCTTATGAAAACAAAATTAGCCGTCTGCTTGTTGACTCACTGATACGAGCTTCGCTTCTCTCTGTAATAGAGCTCCCTTGAGAGATCCGACCTCCACATCGTCGGGAACATCGCGGCTGACCGTTACATCGGACACATCCGCGCTCGCGACGGCGTTACAAACGGCACTGAATGGTCGGCCCGGGCCCACGAGGTCGCACAGCCAACCGGTTGACCTGGCGGTACCGACTAGCACACAGCAACAGGCCCACCAGGCCCACGCCTGGCACAGCCAACCTGCTGCTTTCAGGAGGGGCGAATACCGGAGTGGGTAGGTAATTTAGTAAAGGGTATTGCACTCTCTAAATTCTTTGAATGGAATCTCACTTTGAAGAGTGAAAATTGAACCAGTCTTGAAAAAGAGTGAAAAACGCTAATCTAGACGATTTTAATCATCTTGCATTGGAGATTGGCAAAACTGGCAGTGACGCATTTTCGCTGTTCAACAGCAATTAGCTACTTGTTATTTGTTCCAACTTCATTTAAAAATCTTAAACTGGAAAACGTGTCACTGCTAGTGTCGGTTGCTAAACATGGATGCCGGTCATTCATGTTTAGTAGCCGTATTTAACGCCTAGCAGAACGCCACGCTATCACGTCGTTGACAAAAGCGTGCCTTGCGGTAGATACAGCTCTTTCAATAAGCGATCGGAGCCAGAGGGTGAAGATTCCTGGAGCTGTGTGGTACCGGAGGACCGGAGCAGCGCCCAACGTCCACGCAGCGGAGACTCGCGCAAGGACTCGTCGAATCATCGTGGCGGCACGGAGTCCACATCGGGGCAACAGGGTCGATCCGAGAGCAGACATGAGAATAGTAGTAGGGGACAGACGAGCGGGTCCCGACAACAAGACTCTTCGAGACAGACTAGCGAAGATATGTCGTGGGAGTTTACGATAAACGAGGCGCCGATCGCAAGGCTCGAATCGCTAGACGAGCTTGATCAAGACCATGGTAGTTAAGAGAAAACGCGCGCGGGGGAGATCGTTCTGTTAGCTAGGAGTAAAGACATAGAGAATGGACTGTGCGATCTGTATTTAAGTAGTATTCAAATGTGGTTGACAATAATGAAAGAGAGGGATCGTGGAAGATGGCCAATCTCCCTTTCATTCTCCCTCTCATTACACCATTGAATAGAAAGAGATAGAGATGGTCGTCTTCCACGATCTCTCTCTCTCTCTCTCTTACTTTTATCGACCATTTTGACACACAGATCGCACAGTCTATTCTCTATGTCTTTGGCTAAGAGCCATGACATTACCGTGAGGATCAATTTGTCCTGATGATCAACGAGACATGGAGAGCTGCAATATGCGAGTGCGACGGAAGAGCGCGACCGAAGCCGTTCGATCCTTTTGTAGGAAATCTCGTTCTTAATCCGATCGATATCATAGTCACGTTTAGCCTCGAAACTTCGCAGCTGAATTGTAAAGAATGTAACAAGACATTCATAGGCAAACTTAGGAGCGCGTACTGTTGAAGGGAGCACCAAGGTCCAAAAACATAACAATACTTTTCAGATTCTATAAGTTTTTCTTTAGACATTATAAAATGATAAATTAAAAAAATCTTAGAATATTTTAAAATTCATAAATGAAAAGCTTTAGAAAAATGCAAACTTGCACAACACTTTAGAAATGTGTTTCAATTCATACAGAAAATTTAAAAAATTTTCTAAAAAAATAATTGTACAGAAATTTACATAAAAATTCTGAAAAATTATATGAAGAATTCTAAAAAAAATGTCCACCAAATTATAAAATGACATACATATACTTCCTCCAATTGTACATGCTCTAAATGCTGCCTTGTGATCACTCGCAAAGATCACTTATTCTGCTAATTCGGATTAAATAATCGCTTGTTAAAAATCGTCGTATGATGTAGATTCTTTAATCGTTCGGCTTTGGATCGAGCTTTTGTCCCTTCCGAGTTCTCGAATTAGCGGTTCGAACAATCCGATATTCGTTCCTTTACAGATCGATTTTTTACGCGTCGAAGAGCAGCAAACGAAAAAAATACACTGTATCTCGCCAATTAGACGCCAATTATTTTACTCATTGGATTGCAAATAATTATTTATATATATTTACACGTTAAAACAGACACCTTATGCTGTATATTATAAGATATGCAGCCTTCGATTTGTGATTTCCCGTCGGTATCTCAAAGTTAAGTGAGATGAAAATGTGAGATTTTATGATTAATCTGTTCATCGCAGAATTTTTACTTTAAAAAAGGTTCTTAAGCGTGGACATTTTCAATTTCCGACAGGTTAATTAAAACGTTTGTAAAAGCATCTTCTTTTTTATTCTTGCTTATAAATGACGTTAGTTACACAATGTTCGGGTGACAGTACTTGCAAGAAAAAATTTTGCGATATCATCACTTAGCAATTTAAGCAGGAACATGAAGTAAGAACATGAAGATATACTTCTTGGTTCAGCCGCCGTATAAAGTAGTCATGTTCTTTATACAAATAAAATACGACAGCAAGAATGTGTCGCGCTAGCGACATTAGATAATTATCAAAGTTCGTATTCTTATAATTGTTATTATTGTAAGTATTATTATTACTATTATTAGTATTATTAGTCCTTTTAATATTATTATTGTTATTATCATTACTATTGTATAACAGTGGAAGAAACGCAAGTGTGATGAGAAGGAAACGAAGAAAATAACACCGTTGACATAATGCCTATACGCAATAATATATACTTCTACATATAAGGTTTATTCTTTTTAGCTGAACTTTTGCAGTTCATCTTTCTTTCTTTTCTCTTCAAGAGGAAAGAAAAAGAAGAAAGATGAACTGGTGCCAAAGTTCAGTCAAAAAGAACAGGCCTATATGTACACATACAGAAAAAAGATAGATGTATATATATATATATATATATATTCTATAAATTTTTTACGAAGCATTTCGAGTCGCTACTGCTCCTAAACGCGTATAAACATCGATCTTTTTTTTCTCTCTTTTTCCCTTTTCATTTCTTGTCTTTTCGTAATGTCTCTATATTTTTGCCATTAGTCGCAAATCGATTAAAAAGATTGGAAAAGTAGTAATTGACTATCCTCATCCAAGCTACACGAGACTTTACATTGGATTTTTACATTATTACTCATAACAATAGAAAGGAACAGGAGGAAAGAGGGGAAGAGAGGAATCGAATTCACGGGAATGGCGCTTCGAGATCGTTCATGGATCACTGATCGCTGATGTATTCGTTCTTTGCTCAGTATTCTAGGCTGTAACCAATACCGAAATACTTTCGATGTAACGATTTAAAACACATACGATTCGTAGTTAATTCTCTGCGGCGAAACGATGGCGTAGCGGCGCGACATTATTACGGGGGAAAATACAGCTTTTCAATTTTGCAGCTAGGTTTTTTGATTGTTAAGATACACTTACATACAACGCAGCACACACAAGTGGATTCTTGCACTTAGATACACGGCAAGAGTTGTACGTATGGTTAGGCCATCTTCTTTTTTAAAAAAAAAAAAAGATTCCGGCGGCCACGTTCGTTGCGCAAATCTCATCTCAAATTACTGTGTTACTGTGTGACGAAAATACATATCGCCGCCTGGCCTTCCGTCGCTGGCCGTATCTCCTCGAAATTTCGCATTAAAAGAAATTATTATTAACTTATGTGGGCTAGTTCCCCGAATACTTGACGCGCAGAAAAATACAATTTAAAAAATAGGGATATGGATTTAACACCACATGTGTTTATTTATATGTATAATTCTTACCGTGTTGATGTTAATATAAACACTAACATGGTGTGAATTTAACACCATGGATGTGGATTTAGCACTATAGCTTAAAATCCATATAGTATTTGATGCACACCATATTGGTGTGGGTGTTAAATCTACACTCATATTTTTTATAGTGTATATTATTCCTTGACTGGTATGGCATTCTCTTCTCTCTCTACTTTCACTATCAATTGCCGAATACCGTTGCTTGTAATAAACAATTTTTATTTATTCATTACTGGTTGTAGCAATAAGTACCCCCAATTTGTTTGTTTCATTTTTTTAGTTTCAATTGTAAACTGCGGCTGTATCAAGTGCAGTGTTCCTGCCGTGCCAATTAAGGATTATCTACTTTTGGCGTTGCTTTAAATAATTAAATATGACATCACTATTTTTATAGTCGGATAAAAGATATGCGTAGAAGCAGTGTTCAAATAATCTTACCTTATATCTCTCTAAACTGAATGACACTAAATAATAATTATGACAAATCAAGAAAATATTCTTTGCGCATTTTATTCGCGTTTGCTTAAATCTCTTGTTTTTTTGGCGTAAAATTATCTTTATAAAAATTATTTAAGTTTTCTCTTATTTTAAGAAAAATTTTCAAGTAAAATTAATTTCAGCTGAATTGAAAAGACATACAAAATTTCGTAGAACTTTATATTAAATTTTCTTCAGATATTTGGAAATAACATGAGAACTGGAGAATTAAGCTCGTGTGAAAAGCTGAGAGACTTCGGTTAGCCAAACGTGGCCGCCCTCGATCGCGCAAACAGAGAGAATGCATGATCGAGTTATCTCTCTTGCGTCAAAATTGCGAGTCACACTCGAGCGACACCAATTGCATCGCGAACTTTATAACAACGATGACTTCAACTTCCCTCGCGAGCAAACGGTTTGTGAGTAGACGCTACGTTAAAAAAGTATTTTAACACGTTATACTCTTCGCGAAGAAATGTATATGTAACATTTTCTACATAGTGTCTGCGCCCAATTATAAATTCATGCTGTGCAAGATAAATGCGTCGCTCTTTCAATTCCGAAGCAGGGAACCGGCGAGAGAGAACATTCCGAGGGAAATATCTTAATAGATCGTGATTAAAAAGTTGTCATAGTAGAACCCTCTTTTTCTCAAAGTCCTACGGGAAAAATTATGGTCCTGGAATACTATAAACATCGCGAGAAATATCCCGTGCTTTCCTTATTAATATTCTGGTAGTCGAATAGAAAGTGAAACTATATAAAAGAGAGCACTGAAAAAAAAGTCTGTTAATAGCAAAATTTATTTTATTTAGCATATTTTGATGCAATATTTGATAAATATTATAAAACATAATAATAATAAATCTGTATAACAAATCAAACTAACCAAGACTCCTTATAAATCAAAGAATTGGAAAGAATAAGGACACTAGGAGTCAGGCGCAGTAGACGTCGCGCAAATAATACACCTATGAAGCATGAAACTTCTTTATTCACTGAACGCGTTTACACGTTTCGGCCCACTTTTGAGCCTTTCTCAGAGATAACATAAACTAACATATATAAACTGTAAATAAAAGTTATCCTGTCATGGTGAGCTCCTCTACATCGAGAATTTAAATGTTGGAATTGAAACCAAAAAGTTCTTTTTTTTTTCTTTTTTCTTTTGGTCTTCTGCGCCTGACTCCTACTGCCCTTATTTTTTCCAATTCTTTGATAATAATAATAATAATTAACTATTTTGGTAATAATTAGAAAAGTAAGATAATATTTAGAAAAGTGAAGATGGTTTGTTGATTTTTTTAATCAAACATTTTATTAAAATTGTTTCACCAAGCTTTAATAACTCTCATTTAGATTGTTATTATCAGACTTTTTTTTTAGTAAACCCATAAAAATTATTTTGACTTCGATAAACGCAAACGCTGTTTTCGCGCGCCGATAGCTTTAACCAACGCGACGAATGATGGACGAATAACGAATACAATCATAGAGTTCTGTTCTAATTATGTCAACTTCTTAATCGCCTATATGTCAAACATGATTAATCGGTACGATCCCTCGCGTCTACATCCTTTCCTATAAATCTGAGGAGCTCGATGTCGTGAAGAGCCTTTCTGGGGTTCGGCAGTCTCAGAAATTGCTTAAAAAAGATGCCGAGCGTAAGTCCGCCGTCAAGAAAGGATAACCGGGATTCTTCCATCAGAGCATTGTCTGGTGCATATTTTTGTTCTTCATCTTTCAACTAATGAGTGGCTACGTACGAGTAATATATATCATCGAGTACTTCGATTTCCCCTCTGCAGATTCTCAATTTCTATCGCCTGCTCGCTGATGAAAATAAAATCCTGTGATCTCTCATCGAAGCCGTCTCTTGCTTTTCCTCTACCACGATTGGTCCATTCACGCG